GTGTAATACAACATACTAGCAATGGAATGATATCTGGAAAAAACAACTTTGAACATCTCTGCATGCAGAAATCATATGTTGCTATGAGAATTAACAATGCTGTATTTATCATTTATAGACCCGGAGCGAGGGGGATTCGGCGTAATATTTCCCGAAGTGATGATATTTTCCGAGGTGCTTTGCTGAGGGAAATAGCGCCGAATCCCCCGAGCGGAGGGTCTATAAATGATATATTATACCGAAAGTTAAAGAACTCACTAAGTTTAGAATAAACTTTAAAACTTGCTGAATATTAACTACGCCAATACAATTTTTAATTTCTTATGTATACCGGAGTTTTTGACGTTTTCTCTTTAAAATATTTAAGCATGTATCCTTTGGATCATTAAAGGTAACATACGTCTTGAAAATGTTTTGTTAAATCAAATCTTCTGTACGAAAATACGAAATTACAAACAACAGCTCGCGAACGCCATATTGTTTCAGAGCGTGGTGTCCACGCGTCACGCGTGAGCATGGGATACTATAATATCCCACGGTGGATCTGCCGTGGGATATTATAGTATCCCACGCTGGATTGCAAAATCATGAATTTGAGTGAAATACCGTAAAAAATCACATTATCACGTGGTACAAATGCTGTTTTTTCATTGGACAATTTGAATTTGAGGTATAATATTACAACTAATACTACTACCAATAGTAACAATATACATGAAAAAATTACTTAATTCTGATTAAGAGTCTTGCAATTTTAGTGAGAAACAGTGTAACGTGGGAATTGGTTTAAATTTTGACAGTTGAAAACTTGTATGAAATTGTTGTTTCATTCCAATGAATGAGTAAATCATTTATATCTCACATGGTTCATGCATCCACGTGACCACAATTTGTTTCTGCATAATTTATTCATGTATATTATGAATAATACTAGTGTGGTTTCTCGTGGAATTTGGAAAAATATACACTTGCAAGAATTTCAAAGGCTGCTGTCGTTCTTCGTCGGGACTTGTACAATTTTGGTCGTCTTTGATAAGTTTTATTTTCAAATTAACGATTTAGTTACTGTAATTTACAAATATAGCTGTCAATATAACTATATAATAGCTTAGAACAAATACATGATTCTGGAATTTTCTATTCCTAAATCAGGCTTTGTGCGAGGATGTGCGATGTTTCGATTATATTATAGAATTATAAAAATGTTCGAACATGCTTGATTTCTTACACTATTGAAGCTAGTCACCTGTAAAAGCCTCGGGTCCAATGCTCCATAACAATTGAGCTATCGAACCAACAGGATTTGGTATCGAGTTTTATCCATTTTAAGAGCACGGAATATTTTTGTGACTACTTAAACAAATGCTATCCATCCTCATTCCTCCGCAGAGGCTTTAGTTTTCTTAGGATTTAATATTACAATGAGATACATTTCACTACACTTTACATGGCGGATCTTGGAACAAGCCTCTGCGGAGGAGAGAGCTTTCCATCCACAAAGATATCAGTGGTGCCGCCAGGAATTTTCTTTTTTTGGGGGGGAGGGACAACTTAATAATTTGTGAGTCACAATTCTAGCCATGCTCGGCTCCCCCGGAAAAGATTGAATTTTGGGTCTCTGAAACGGCAGTTCCTGCATTGTGGAGGCACTTGAAGAGATATGTAAAGATCTTAATAAATCAGCTTGTAATAGTGACAAATATTGATTTCAGAATACTCGACACTTTAATTCAGTGGAAGACATAGTCACATACATTTATCATTTATAGACTTCAGACCTGGCCACCTGGGGAGCAGGGGGATTCAGCGAAATATTAGCCAATGTGATGATGTTTCCCAAGGGGCTTTGTCCCGAGGGAAATATCATCACTGAGGGTAATATTTCGCCGATTCCCCAAAGCGGAGGGTCTGTATTAAAATAATATATTCTACCGAAAATTAAAAGGCTCCAAGTTGAGAATATAAAACTTGCCACATACCTTGGTGAATAGTGAATACGATGTTTTATTTTTTGATTAACGCAAGTGTTGGTCACTTTTCTTTCCAGTCACATATCGTTTGGAATATTGATAACATTCTTCGAAATTTGCTTCAAAATTTTCAAAAAAAAGAGCTTTCCTTGAAGTTTGAAAACTTGATAATTCATCACTCCTTATATTAAATGCTCCTTATATATTTTGTCGGCCATCTCGTTCGCGTGGTCGCCTTTAAAACACGTTTAAAACACCAATTAAAGCAATGTATTTCACTCGAGGATTGACTATTATAGAAAAGACATTTAGAAAAATGATAAAGTGATGCATGTAAATTAATTTTGTAAGTTCTATTAATTGAGAACAGTGATGGACACTACACAGGCTCAAACTCCATAAACTCAAACATGAATGACTTATATTGTCTTGAAGATATTGCGAATTGCAATCTTCCAAATTCTTGAAATAGTTATTCATTAAATTTTTAAATCTTGCAGAAGGGAGAGATTCGTGTCGCAACATTAATTTTTCAACCATGAATGAAAACATTGGCAGGCTATAAATCGAGCTCTATATCTTGCATGAAATAGGAATTCCAGTTACAAAAAGCGCTCATATGTTGGCAATTTATTATCCCCCCCCCCCCATATTTTGCAAAGTGTCCGCCATCGGTTAAGAATTTCTCACAACAAATGTGACCACTGCACATTTTTATTGTTCAAAACACGAGCATACTTTCGCCTTATTAATGAAGCAGAAAATTGGTTGTTATGCACTAAATAATAAACTATGGCTTCTTGTAGCAAATACACAAACATACAACTCTCGGTAAACGGGCTAAATGCTATACTACAAATTTTCATGAAATTGGAAAATTTTGAATTAAGTCAAGCGAGAGTTTACATGATGAGAGTTTTCTCAACTTTCATTGCTTGATCAAACGAGAACAAGAGTTGCATGAGAGTTGACAAGCGAGAGTTTACATGAGAGTTTTCTCAACTTTCATTGCTTGATCAAACCAGAACAAGAGTTGCATGAGAGTTGACAAGCGAGAGTTTAATACATGAAACGCGTGTTTTGCAAGCGAGATTTCTCAGCATTCATTGCGCGACCGATTCACTATCTCAATAAAATAAACTCATTTTGACAAATGTTATACATTTGCGATGTTATAACAGTATGAATTATCATATTTTTATTTTCGACCAATCGTGCATGGATCTCGACGTTCCTTAAGTAAATATAATAACAGACATACATACGTACGTGGGCTAAAACTGCACACAAAGCATTATTCCTAGGAAATTGCGTACGTCGTTGTTTTTAACTGTGATCGTAAAAACAAAGTTTAGAAAATAATTTTGTCTTTTGGTCGTCTTGATATACCGCGACTGAAATTTTCGTTACGTGAAGTGTATATTGATTTTGGTAAGTCTCGCGCAAATTGCGTTTTATATAGCATAGCAACTATACTGGGAGCGCTATATGTCTTGGATATAGGGACGATCGATTTATATAAACAAAGCTTGGAGGCTGCAGGAATGACAAGACAGCTTGCCTATAATACAATTCTTTTGTGGAAGTAGTAATTTTGACTTTAACTTATAATGTGTGAAATCAGTGTTATCTGTTATGAATAGTGTGGAAGTATTATTTTTATTTTTATTTATAGTGTATGAAATTAATGTTATTTGTTATATAAAGTGTATCCTTAGTCCATCATACATGTTTTCCATTTTTCTTGAATGTTTATCTTAGTAATATTGCCCCGAAACACATAAGGGAGCTTAAATTTATATAAGCCTTAAGGTTTCTTTTTAAGCTAGGCTTCCACTTATTATAGCTTACCACTGTGTCTTGTAAATATTAAATGTAAAGTATTTTGATGTAATTAAGACTGTAGTGCCTAGTGGTGAATAAATTATTATTACGTTAAATTATTATTACAAGGCAAATAAGCCGAAACAATTGTTGCTGAAGCATTATTTGCCAGCCTTGTTTCCCGACGCTCATTTTAATACATGTGCCCAGCTTTTTCAATTGAGAAGTCGCTCCCAAGTTTACTATTACCGGTGGCTGTCTCCGGGCAACTGATTGAGAAAATTAAAAATGAATCGAAATTGTTAGAACTTATATAAAAGCTGCTACAAACAAATTGCCGTTTTAAAAGCTTTATAGTCCTGGATTAACTGTGGTTTATAAGCTTAAACTAAGTTATATAGCTATATAATTCAGTCTGTTTACATTATATACAACGCAGTTTGACAACTTGTTAACAACTTGTTAGATGCAGACGGTATCACTTTTCGGTATCACTTAGTTTTCGGTGCGAACACATCTTTCTGACAAACTGCGAGATTTTTACGTGTATGAGAAGAGAGTCGACAAGAGTTCACAAATGGGGGACCCCCGTGTATAATTATTGTTCCATTCATCATTTTAGTTCCTTTGGAGTTTCGAAAGATGGGAAGAATACTACTGTTCATAGGCCTTCTGTTGTATTTATTTGACTACGCCTTAGACATTTACGTGGCGTTTCAATACGGGAAAAATAACGATACTTGGTGGTTTGGGATGACTCTTGCTTTTACCATTATTCCGTCAATCATAGTAAACATAATATCGATCATTAACGAAGTAAATGAATGGACATGTGTAGCCGCTTTTGTTTAATTATCATTTTTCGTTCGTTACATCCAAGCATTGAAGTCGCCGAAAGCAAAGCGGAATTCCAAAGTTTACTTACTCGCATAGCTACGCTATTTAGAGACAATTGCGGAAAGCGCTCCACAATGGTGTCTACAGGTTTACATCATGTTACGTCAATGGCATTTCCCATCATACACCCTGGTCTCCAGTGGGTTGTCGCTCCTGTCTTTAGCCTGGAGTATCACGACACTCGAGGAAGCAAGAGCAACTAAAGAAAAACGCAAATTAAAGTTAGTTGATACAGGCTTGTTTCTGATTTGGCAACTGTCCACACTCATATCAAGATTATTCGCTATCGTTCTTTTCGCTTACGCGTTTGGATATCACGTGTTCACTATCCTGGCATACCATTGGCTGCTTGTAGCTGTGACGATGTTTAAAATACAAATATTTAATGGAGAATGTTTCGGAAAATCCTTACTTTTATCATTGCCTGCTGCCTTCCCTTTTCTGTTTCACGTATCAAAAACCGTCATTCCAACCAAAGATCCCAAAGCTGAGATGAACGTGGGGTGTATTTTCCTCCTGGTAGGAAACATCATCATGGTGACATTATTTCTAGCGATTAAAATGCCAGATGCACCACACTTGAATGTATTGCAACCAGTTGCTATTTTGTGCATCGTAGGAGGATCAGTCCTGTCGTTCATCTGTTTCAAATTGTGTTCGCACCACATGAATTTCAGCAGTTCTCCATTTGAAAGGTATTGTGAGCACGAAAGTACTGATATTGGTCAAATAGAATCGGCAGACCTTAATAATGATACGCCAGTGGCTTGCACAATCAAAGAATGTGTGAAAGCGAAAAAGGACCATCGTCATAATTATAATACGCAAATGTGTCAACCTTCCCCGACTCTTTACCTTCCTGAAACAACCTTGCGAGACGAGCCTGCGGAGCATTGGTCAGCAAACGAGAAACTCCAAACATTATCATCCAGGTCTCTCCCTAAACCTCGCCGTGATTTTGGGCATACGAATGAGACAATAGACCATCGTAATAATGATAATACGCAAATGCATCCTTCCCAGACTCTTTCCCCTGGTCGAACGAACACGCAGGACGACCTTGCAGACCATTCGGTAGAGAACAACGGCTTTTCTTCAAGCATGTATGAAATAGTCGCGTCTACTACAACAAGCGCTTACAATTATTTGGTTAGTTTTCTTCCATGGCCCTAACCCAAACCACTAATCCTAACCCATGGTCTTTAAAAAGCGTGGTTACAAGAAAATTATCCTTCAATGTAGGGGCTAACGCCCGTATTCTAAAAGCTCACTCACACTCACTGACTCACACTCAATGAGTGGAGGTTCAATCTGAGCTTCTCTCGAGTGTCATTGCTGTTTTTGAATAGCTGGAGGGTTAGTGTCGTACCTTACTATGTGACTACTCACCCTCCAGCTATTCAAAGGCAGCATTGACACTCAAGAGAAGCTCAGATTGAACCTCCACTCATTGAGTGTGAGTGAGCTTTTAGAATGCGGGCGTAAATCGTGAAATTACACATTGGCCGCCATCTTGGATTTGACCGCAAAGTGAATTGGAACCTAGTCGATATGTGACTGGAAAACCTCCGGCAGAAGTACAGTGCACTTCCAAGTTCCTAGCGCGCCAAGTTTAAAATAGCTATGATGTTGGGCCGTGTATGCAAATGTATTGCCTTTCCGAGTTTTTTCACGCTAAACCACGTTATAGATCGAAACCAAAGATCGAAGCCATATATTCTTCGGCTAACTTAGTCTTTAAGATACGTACACTTATATTTATATGCATGCAAGTGTTTAAATTAACAACTGCGCCAAAACTCAATAAGTAAATAAATAAATAAGTAAATAAATATATCTGTATCCGCGAACTCTGTGCCATTATCATGCATTAAATGTGTAAATTAACAATTGTAGCAAAACTCAATAAATAAGTAAATAAATAAATCTGTATCGGCAAACTCTGTGCCATTATCTCTATTCGAGCTCTCTGTCCCATTTCTGGCACAATAATAGCCGCAAAATGCATGAAATGCGCCTCATTTCCAAACTTTGCACTGTCCACCCATATATGGTATTAACAAACGTGTCCCCTAGTTTATGGTTCTATCTGACATATGTAAACAGACATTGACAGTACTTTTACTAATTTTCACCTATTCCATATACTTGTTTCATCCAAGAGGAATCATCAGGTGGCTGACAAAGGTAAGGCTGCAGACCAAGGTAGCATGGACTGAGGTATACAATGCAATGTGCAGGCTGAAACAATGGTTTCTCGAAGCTGCATGGGTAAACAAGAGAATATTTGTTAGAAATATTTGTGTGCGGCTACATGTAAATTGATGTATCAAAACACCTTAAAGTTGTCACATATCTGCAAACAAGTTGTGACAAAGTTGTTGTCAAGCCAATATCAGGATGTGCTCCCAAAAGTGACAAATATCAAATATATATACAATATCTACAATATCGCATTACAAAATAGTATGATGAGCCTTTAAGTACTAAGGACACATATAAGTGGTAGGAACCAAGTCTCTAGTTAACATCGCATTGCCATCTGAAACCCCATATAGTCAGGGACGCCGGAACTGGGGGGCAGGAGGGGCGGCTGCCCCCCTTGCCTTTTGCTAGGGGGGGGCAGGGGGGGCAGAAGTGCCCTTGTAGTTATAAAAAATACGTGATAAATCACATTTAGAACGATGGTTTTTGTACGAAAATTATGAGATTCAGACAATTTACAGTTTATATTTCACTGACGGTATGTCCGGAAAAATTTTTTGACCCCTAAAATGGTACACTGACCGAAATTTTTGGGGGGACGGGGGGGGACGGGGGGGGGTAGGTCGCCGAAATTTTTTGAAAAAAAATAAATTTCGGTAGAT